AGCAGCTTACGACGGTCCTCTGCTAAAATCGAGGACTCTCGCTACGCAATTCAGTTCGGCGAAACGTGCAGTACACTGTAACGCCGCTACCTTTGGGTCTCCACAGCCGTTGCTGCCTCTACCGCCTCACATGCTGGAATGCAAGCGCACCAGAGGACAGGGCAGTCGCAGCAATGCTGACGTAGCGGAGAGCAACGCGGAAACCACTAGGAACAGTACGCATAACTGTTGTAACACATTTACCTTTACCTAAAGACGTATTAAACGGCATATCCGACACAAACAAGGAATTTTGTCCTGTGTCGAGGGGAAAGCGAACCACGGAGTTGAGCAGAGCCTGAGGCCTAGTTTCCGCGTGAGGAACTGATGAATTCTTCTGACGTAGGGCCGGTACAGCGAGCTATTATTATCCTTTAACGAGCTATGAATACATTATTAGCTCCTAAAATAGTTATTGCTTGAACTGCATGCAGCGCATATACTGGCATTTCAAGCCATGACATCAATTACTAGGCTGGCTGGTAAACAACGATTGTGTCTTCTGCAGCCCCTGTTACAGTTGCAGCGATGTGCAGGCGTTTGTTTTGATGTGTTTAGGGTTTTTACTGTGGTACTCTATATGCTTATTTTATTTTCTCAAGTTGAGTTTCAGAAGCTGAGTCGGCGGTCCCTCGAAGAGTGCCCGGCCCCCTTCTCCCCCCGTCATGCTCATGCTGAGTAGAGAAAACAGTAGCCAATACTAAATCAATCGAAGGTGTTGAGTCGTTTGCCGAAATTCCAACAAAAGGAACAGTAACTCAGTGCAGCTTTAGGGACCGCGCCGCGGACGGCATTCATGCCGGCGGCGGCAGCACGCCGACGCCGCAAGACAGCAGCAGCACTAGCGGCTGCACAGCGTTGCAAGAAAATGAAGCTTCTACGGCGCAACCCCCGCAGCCTTTATCTCTGGACGCTTCTTGCAGCGGGAGCAGCAGGAGCAGTAGCGCGCCCGACAGCTGCCGACACAGCTATCAACAAACCTGACTTGCCGCAATGCGGATCTCCCCCAAGCGCCAGCTGTGTGCTGCAGCAAGCTGCTGCCCTACAGGAGTGGGGGATAAACATACGGAGACAGCTGCATAGACACCCGGAGCTGATGTATGAGGAGGAGAGGACTTCGGCATTGGTGCAGCAAGTGCTCACAGTGAGGCCGCTACCGAAGGGTACAATCGGGAGCGCGAGAAACACAGTGAAAACCTGCAGAAACAGCGGGAATATGCGTAGCAACACCGGGTTGTGCTAATGCTTGGATTCCCGCCAAGCAGTTGCTACTACTGCCACTGCAAAAACTGTCTTGGCACTCTGTATAGCGCCTCTTAGGCCCATTATCTACTGCTCATGCTGCTGCATCTGCTGCTGCTCTGTGGTGTTTCAGGAATTGGGCATAAAGTACACACCTGGTTGGGGCAGAGACCGCCGATCATCTCTTGTCGATGAGTCTTTGCTAGAGCCATCTACTGAGCGGGGGGACGCGGAGGCGCTGCAAGAAATGCAGCAGCAGCAGCAACAGCAACAACGGCGGCAGCAAGAAACAACTGGGGTTGTAGGGACAGGAGTTGTCGCTGAAATTGGGACGGGAGAGGCCCCATGCGTCTTACTACGAGCAGACATGGATGCACTACCTATTCACGAGCAGGTGCTGTCACAGCAGCTAGACAAGTGAAACAGCTGGAGCTGGTCATATGCGTGGTTTTGCCTCCTGTTGCTGTTGTCGCTCCAGCTTAGGCGCTGCTGCTGCTGCTGCTGCTGCAGCGGCTGTCTGCCTTTCTGGTGCTATTTGCGGTACTGGTGCGCTTGCATTCCAATATCCTTTAGTTGCTCCGGTACGTCTGTTACTGCAGCTGGTTTCGATCACGTATTCTTCGGCTATGACGGCTGCTACTGCTTTTGCTGCAGGCAGACGTTGCTTTCAGATCTGAGGTGGAGGGGAAGATGCATGCCTGCGGCCATGATTCACACACTACAATGCTCCTCATGGCTGCAGCCATTCTAAAGAAAAACGAGGCTTCTATTAAAGTTCGCAGCACACGAATTTATTGATTCGTTAGCTTCTCGTTGCTTTTTCTGCTCCTGCCTCAGTAGAAGTTCCTGGGTGCTTGTCCCTCATACTGTTGTTCCTGCTGGGCCTACGTGTTCTAGTGCGTTCTCGGGAGGCAGCAACTGCATTTTTACATACAGCAGCCGATGCTGAGATATGCAATGCCTCTGCTATTTCTGTTTGATTAGGGCACAGTGCGGCTGGTGTTTCAGCCCGCCGAAGAGGGGGGCCAGGGAGCGAGAATGATGGTCGAGGAGGGTTTGTTAGAGCAGAGTCCAAGGCCAGGGTTGGCTTTGGGGCTGCATGTTCTTCCTGATATACCGACGGGCATTGTCGCCTCGAGAGAGGGGCCCCTCATGGCTGCCACTGGAAGGTGAAGCATATTTTCTCCTCTATGCTTTGCGTTCGTTCATACGTTCTCTTCTGCTTTCTCTTTCCTGCTTTCCTGCACTGACATTCATCGGTCAAGTACGCGTCTTGTAGCCTAGCTTTTTGTTTCCTCTTCTCTGCTTCTTACTCTCTTCATATCTGCACCAC